AGAGAAAGAGAGAGAACAAACAAACAAATGAACAATGGGGTTTTTAACGAGAAGAACATGATGAGGAGATCCAGAGCCACGTGCGTGGAGGTGTGTGGGGGATGAAGACAATGAGCAGGAAGAGGAAGAGTGTTTAGGATGGGACACCTACAGAAATAAAGAGGCTGGGAGCATAAAGCACCTAGGGGGAAGGTCCTCCTTTTCTCCTGAGTGGGGGAGCACTGCTGTCTCACCTAGCAGGAGGACACAGTACCGTGCAGCTGAAATAGTTCCATCTATTACTTGGAGTCACTTGGCCACTCTGCACTGAAACCGTCACACGTGAATGTAATGCTGGATACAGGCAAATCCCATCTTACTGCTGCTGTTAGTAGTATTGTATTTGTATTTGTATGTGGTTGCCAGTTGATGTTTTTGCCTTGCAGCCTCGCTAAGCTCTCTGGCTATGCCAGGCATTTCTTTGCTTGTGTTTTATTTCTGAGTATCTTCTTGCTCACCTTTCAGTCACTAAGCCTGAAGCACCTGAGTGGTCCAAGGGAAATGGCATTTGAAAAACGAGCTATGGCTGACACGAGCATTGCCATCTGTATGTGTGGTTTGTGGCTTGTACTTGCAAGCTTCTAGGCACCTTCAGATCTTTCTTACAACAGGTACCTGCAAAATGAAGGGGCTGAATGCATTGTGGAAGCAGGCTCTTATGCATCTAACTATTTCTGGGACCTACCAGGGTCAAGAACTACTTCCTCATTGTCCTGAATTTATGACTCTCTCTACAGTACAGCCTCCATGACACTGCCATTCACTCCAGTGGAGTCAGGAGCCATAGAGGGCTGGAGGGCTGCATGCTAGTAGAACAGGTATCTCATTAAGCCAGCCACTGGAGCAGGCTGCAGTATTAACATGGGTTGGGCACTGTGCACATGAATACAATCTTTCATGCCATTTGGACCTCCAGGCAGTGGGGTTGTATGCTGTTAATCTAGTCCTGTGTCAGAGGATGTGTGGAAGGCCATACCTGAGTAAAGGCTCTGGGGTGCTACTGAGGGAAAAGGACCAGCTACTACTGGAAAGGTAGCCTTTCTGGGGCATTTCTAGTCCCTTTTAACTTTCTTGGATTGGGGGATTAATCCTGATCAGACATAGGAGGGGTCACACTAAATTCTATGAACATGGATATTGAAGGTGTTTTTCATCTAACATACACCATGGAGGTGATGCCTGTTCATGATGATTAAAACCCCATGATGCTTTTCTCAATAATGGGACTGTTGGCTCCATTGTTCTAACAAATTGAAACCATTTATATCCTACGTAAGTAATTTCATTCTCCAGCTCCTGGAAAGAAATGGGCTCCTTGTATCTGCCTTCCAATGTTGTGGTATGCTGTGAAGAGTGGAAACTTTGGTCCCCAAGATGGGAACATTCACTCAGGAGCAATGGGGTTTCTTCATAGTAGAGTGCCATTTATCCACGGTTGGTGGACACTGGTGGCTTGGTAATATTATTTCCCTCCACTTTCATTACAAACATAAGTAAGTGAACCAGTTACTATAGCAGGCAAGTACTCTCCATGCACAGTAACTTGTCTGAAGAGCTTGTTGACTGCTTTCTTATTCTCTAACACAAAATGCTAGACAGACATCAACTTCTCTTATACAAAGAAAGAGGAAATACATAATACTTGTGCCCTGCAAAACTGAATGTGTTATTCTTTTTTTCTTGCCCCGTGCTAACCAGGTAGTTGCTGCTTTCCTCTGTATGTTAACAGGCATTGAGAAAAATCAAATGGCTGGCATATACAGTGAAGGATCTCAGTCTTACTTATCTAATTCATTCCTTGTCTTCCTCTAATTGCTGCTTTGTGGTTAACTTACTGCTGGCCCTGGTTCTGTCTGTGCATTCAGTTACACCAATGCCACAAGGAAATGGCTGTTAGTGTCTGGAAGGGCATCATTCACCTAACTGACTGAAGCCTTAGAGCTGCGCCCAAACAAACAGCCAGGCAAAGCATATATCTCAATTTCCAGCTAAGAGAAGAGTTATCAAACTCTCAGTTGTTTTGGTGTCAGAACCCCGTGAGCTCCACCTGCTTCCTTCTACATGCATGCAAATGCTTTGGAAGGGGGATATCTGTTCCACATCTATGACTTCCATTTCAGAGATTTCCCTAAGCCTCGCTAAAACTGTTTTAGGTTTGTGGGTACATGCTCTACTCAGACTCATTTTTATCTGCTTAGGTTCATTTCTACTTCTTTTAGGTGGATACTCTTTTCAATGAAAAGAAAGAAAAAAGGAAAGCAAACACTCAGCCTTGAATGCAGGAATGTGGGCAGATCTTGTTCTTATGTGGCTTTGGACCCCTCATCTTCATAAGCAAATGGAGTCAGCAGAGAGAATGAAAAAGAGCACTGAAAAAAATGCTGGAGAGGGAAAGACTGCTAGGTTGGGAGAAAAGGGCAGGGGAATATCTCTAGTTATTCAGCTGAGCAGTTTATTCAACAAGCTTAGAGGGAAAGGAGAGGGCAGAGTAAGCAGGGCTCTGCAGGAATTGGGGAAATTTTTTGTTTTCATGTAGACAGGAACAGTAGACAAAAGTACAACTTGCAAGAATGGAGCAATAAAACATTTTTGAAGTTATATTTATATATCTTGTATTTGCTGAGTCCTGATACAGGATTTTTAATCATCCTATTAAAATATGCAGCCCCTGTTTCATCCACCCTTTCTCCTCCCCATGCCCTACTGGCTTTCAAGTGCCCGGAGATTTATTGCAGCAAAAGTATTTAACAGTGTGCTCTTCTTTGCCTGTATCACTACTGGATTCCTTATAATCAGCATTTTCAGGTAAAATTTTAATGGCAGGTAAGAAATCCTTAGGGATGTTTAAAGAGAGCTACTTAAAAATAAAATAGGCCATTTCACTAACCCTTTCCTTCCATTGCCTTTTGTAGTATCTGGACTTGTAATTAAATAGTAGGTAATAATGCTCTCCTATCTTGCAGTCAAGAAAGAACTGATGCTACCCCAAGCAATGCAGACAATCACTACATTGATATTGTCTACAGGACAGCTTATTAGCGCACTCTTGGGCTGGTCTAGACATTGGTCTTTGGATAGACAAAGAGTCCTCACATTTTTCTGTGCAGATATGTAAACATGGGTCAGCTATGCTGGAAGCATGAAAATGGTGCGTGGTGTTGCTCCTCTTAAGTTCTCTGTTCCCTTTGGGCTTTTGCATCCAGTAAAACAAGACTTGAAAATGCAAGTGATGATGGATTACAATAGCTTTTTCAGCAATCTTCCACTCCTAGCATTCAGTGCAAAATGTGTGATAGGCTTTTACACCTGTAAGTCCATCCGGGGGCCTCAAAAAGACTGCCTCTTGTATTTCAGAAAATGAGATGACATCCTATTTCCTCTGGACAGGGATGAAGGCTTGGCTCACTGATTCTTCAAAACTTCCCTGGTGTTTTATGCATCTGTAACTAAGGTCTTCTTTCCCCTTGAGAGCAAACGTTCATCAACACACAGCAAAGAAGGCGTGAAGGGTAGCAAGGGTGAGAAACCGTGAGAAGGACCAGAGGCAGGAGGGGAGGTTCAGAGCATTAGGTTTACATCTATTAGGAGGAGATGGATATGTGCATTTTTGAGTAAGACCAAGGAGCTGTATGCTGCAAGATGGGGAGGGGGAATGAGTTTGAAAACAAGCACTGAAGCTTATGAAAGGGTCGTGTATTAAAGGGATGTGAGAGAAATATATTTATGGAGAAGGCTTTTTGGTTTTCTTTATGGTTTGTGGCACCTGTGTGCAGCACTGTCATGGCCAAATATCACAAAAGAAGTCAAAACTGTGAATGCATTTGAATGCAATAGGCACTGTTGTATTCAAGGAAGTAACAGGGCTGGAGACAGACGCAAAAATGTAAAAGGAAGCTGGGCAGGTGGCTTGTGTCAACCCTCGCAGTCCTCAGTATTTTATCTGCTGTTCTTAGGAAGTCTGTCCGACATTGACGTAGCCCCAGTGGTGTCACAAGTTTGAGAACCAAAGTGGAAGTGGAGCACCCAGGCAAGAGAGGAAAGAGAAAATGAGGTGATTCACTCCAGGCACCAGAAGTGACACCAGGAAAGGATGCACCTTGCAAAGACCCTGCTCTGACCTTGCAGAAACTCTGCCCTGACCTTGCAAAGACTCTCAGAGTCCTCCATCGAAAACAACAGGAGGTGGTGAACAAGCAGCTTCAGGACAAACCTGGAGGCTTCAGTCACTGATTAGAGCTTGCTGTTTTGTAACATTTTAAGACCAGTCAGATAAGGACTTCGTTCTGTTTTTGTTGAAGCAAACAGCAACATTCCCATTGACTTAATGGAAGCAAACCCTTAGGCACCTCCCTCTCCTGTGAAACCATCTCTCTCAAGTCTATTTATTTTTAATGCATTAATCCTTCTGGTGCTGAACACAAAATTGCACAAAACAAATATGCCACCTGTGGGATTAACCTCTGCCCTTCCTTTCTGTATAGACTGATAAATTTTGGGTTTCTGCATTTTTAGCTTAGGCTTTGGGAGGAAGTGGATGGGGAAAAGATAGGTCTGCACTGGAAACAGAGATACCCTTTGTCAACCTGACTTCCCACATTCCTTTCCTTGTTGCTTTCGCATCCTTTCTGACTGTCTTCTGCTTGCCTCTGCTACTGAGGTTTTCTTCCTATACTCATTCCTTTCTCTTTACCCCTTGTCTTTTTCAGCCCTAGTTTGCTCTGTATTTTGATAGCAGCTGTGGTTTCAGTGAATCATGTAACAAAAATCCAACTCCTTTCACATAAAACATTGAAACACTG